GGCGCAGCTGCCAGCAACATAAACATACGAGACTCGTACAGCACGCTGGAAGGGCCACCGATGTAGAGATATATACATATATATATATAAACATATATATATAAACAATATATATATATATGTATATATATATGTGTGTGTGTGTGTGTGTGTACCGGGAGCACGGTATAAGAGCGGGACGTGGGCAGGCGCGCGATGCAAAGCACTAATTTGTAACCAAGTTGTCGCCCCGGTTTGACACTGCAGTAAATACGAGGGTGATAGCGTTGTATATCACTGGGCCACCACTACCACCGCCGCTGCCACTCTTGTAGCAAGTGGCTAGAAAATCGTGTATTCCCTATCCCATCCTTCGATCCCTTTCCCCTTAACCCCCTCTCCGATCCACGATCGATATCGAATAATCTTCGAATGACGCGTAAGTTTTAACACGTTGACTGCCGCGTCACCCATATTCTTATTTGACTACTTATGAATGATCTTTGTAGGTGTTTGGAAAGATATTCTGCACGGAGTAATTTATTAAGAAAATTATTTTGAAAATTTTAAAACGTTTTATACAAAGCTGAGGTTGATCAATTTGGACAAAAAGTTTTTAAAATTCTTTTTTAAATTTCTTCGTACGTTTGTCGCCTTTTATCCGAATAATATAATTTACATGCAGTCTAATACTTATATCAGGATTATTTTTCTTAACGGTGATATTATGTTGAAGGTTTTTTCCGGATAATCCTAACAATTTTGCAGTTAATAATTCTCTAAATCTTCTAATTTTGGGGTATCACGAGTCTTATGATGATACGATAATTAGTTTATGAACATATGCTCTGACTATTGGATGCGATTACCTGCTGTAACCCTGGTCTCTAATAGACAAGCCACACGAATAATTATATACAATTCACAACTAAGAAGTATATTTGTTACAATTAGTCGAAGGACATTCATATTATCCAAATTATCCAAATTATATTATATAAATCAGTATTACTATTCAATACTATTGCCAATACAATTATTATTATCGATATTTTTATCGCGGACGCGAACGGTAACGATGGAAACAAATGATGCGAGACATCATTCTTACGACTATCAGACTCGTATTACTAAAATATACTATGAACTGGAATACACTTGATACAGTGGCGCACCACGTGGCCTGAAGGAGAATTTCGTTAGAAACACGCGTGGCAGTCAACGTGTTAAAAAAGAATATCTTTGTTTCCTCTTTCTACGTTTCTCTCGTCCATACGGGAGACGGGGAAATTGAAAATTCGGACATTATTAATCGAATTATCAAGGGGAAAGTGTGGTATATGATTTCACTTTTGTATTTCGAAAATATTTCTATCGAAACGTTGTTACACGAAGAGAGAAATTTCTTCGAACGTTCCACGATGGTTAATCGCGAGAGGAAACGGTTGTCCAATCGATTGGCCCGTTTAAATATTAAACGTTCTCTCTTAACTCTTATGACTCGTAGCATGGCCCGACATCGCATTTCTTACGCCAACTCCAATGTCGAACTAGACTCGACATTGTACAAGCAGCTTTTAAAATAATTTAAAATGTTTTTTTTTTCCCTCTTTCAAATACTTTGTAATACCTTTCACATTTATTTCATCGAGACCCTCCTTTTAGATCCTCTTTTTCGTAAATGAGTTAAAAAGTTGTTGCTAGGTGAAGAAAAAAAGATACGTTCTCGATTTAACTATGAACTAACGAGGAACGTGTTAGTAAATTGTAAGTTAAAATCGATTTAAATATGCCGTTTCTCGTACGGAACGATATCTCTCGAATTACGAATTATTAAGGAATGAGTACAATTTACAACGTCTTCGCTATAAAATCGTTAATTGCTAATGCTATCGCGATCCTTTTTTCTCTCTTTTTTTTTTTTTTAGCAAGAAAAATGTCTGATAATTAATCCGTTTGAAAAAGAATTTCAGGGAGCCGTTATATGCATATATCCGTTTCCAATTCGAAAATTCGCCGATTGAACTTTTGACCGAATATCGCCCGGCTATATTGAAATTTCAATGCCCTTTCGATCGATCGCACTCGCTCGGATATCGTTGAATTTTCTATCGCGCCCGTTTCGTTCTTTCATTAGATATGTAAAAAGAGAGAGAGAGAGAGAGAGAAAAAGAAAAGCAATTCGCGGCGAAAACCAATTCGACGATAATCGAATCTTCGATTCGGCTGCGTTCTATTTTTCAAAGTCGATATTATCTTCCGGAAGGAAGATTTATTTCCCGTTGTGACAGCGTCGCAACGGTATTTATCCCCTCCCCCTCCTTTTTTTTTACGGAATGGGTTTTCGATATTTATTTTCTCGCCACGGCATTCGATCTCACGATTAGCGATCGTATCGCGTACAACACACTCGGATCGATCAAATATTCATCGATCCGTCCAACTTCCCATCTGGAAACCTGTAATAATTTCGTATTCACACGAACTCGATCCCATCGAATCGTCAATTAATGCGATGTAAACGACCAGTCTCTCTCGAGATATATTGTAAATATCTTGCGATTGGACGGGGAAGAGGGACATACTCGAACGAAACTCGATGATTTTAATTACCGATAAACAGGAGTGACACTTGTATAAATTCACCGTACCGTTAACGTCCCGTTTCTTTTCTTTCTTTCTTCCTTTCTCTCTTCCTCTCTTTCTTTTTTTTCCGAGCAAAGACTTTGGAATCGGATATCTAATTCGATCTTTCTCTACCTCGTTATCGTTAGAAAGGCAATTGAGTTACGATCGGTACATTTTCGTGAACAAATTGAAACGAATAGAATATCGGAATAGAATTTCGCGTAGAGATTTAAATAAGAAATTTTCGTATTTTTGATATCTTCGAACACGTTAAAATTATTAACGATTTCATCCAAACGTACGGCGATATTTTTCATCGAACGTGTCACGCGAGACATCGATTTCGCATCGTAGCGAGGAAAAGAGAGGAAGAGAGAGAGAGAGAGAGAGGAGAGGGCCGGAGAGAAATTCGTTATTAAAATTAATTATTCAGATCGGGAAAATGGCGATATAAGGCGACGCCCGTTTCGACGAAATGAATCGTAAATTGGAGGCGCGTTCCAACCCCCTCGAGCGCATCCCTCCGGCGCTCCTTGCAGGGAGCCACCAGCGAAAACCAGCCTCCTAACCCTTTGTTCTTACCTATTAACCACCCCTGATTTATACACGATTGTTCGCCGGCCAACTTTTTTCATTTTATCCCTTTCACCCTCCCCCATTTCTCCCTCTTATTTCTCAGCGGTTCTCAACGTTCCGCGCGAGCGGATCCTGATTAACTCGTACAAATCCACCCGCGTGAATCCCCGATTTGCATGAGCAAGGAATTCCTTCAAATCCANTCTCGCTCCTCTCCCTCTCGGGCGAGCCAGCGGCGATTCGAGGCCGAGGCCCTATCGGGAGCGCATTTTAATGCGAGTCTAATTTTCGATTTAATTTCGGTAAAAATGATCCGGCCTCTTGGCCGATCCCGCGGCGCTCTGGAGAGGGGGGAGGCTCCGACACCCCAGTTAAAGAGGAGAGTATCCTGGCTCGGTCGTCGCCGACCAAACTTCTCTCCCCGTAAAAACCCATTTGCATAACG